GATGTGGTTTGCTTCTTCTTTCCTATCAAACATCTATCGTCTATATTTCCCCTCTTTCCATTTTGTGTTTGTTACTCTCTTGTAACAACACTAATCTTCGGCACTTATGTGACCTTATTGTGTTGCAAGTGCCGTAAAACTCTTACTAATAAAAAAAGGTCTTTGAAATGATTGCTCGTTAGCGCCAGAGAACCAAATACTCTAAACCTCTACAATTTCCTTTGATGGGCTACTACTAGGCCATTCAAATTCAACAAACATAGGCTCTATTATAGGTTTTCATTCAAGCAAAATTTTAAAAAACAAAACAAAAACACAAAAAAAAACCACCGTCAATATGCCTTGATTTAAAATCGATATATTTATTTCCTTAGCAGAAAGCTTTCCACCCAACAACTCAATCAGGCGATTAGGAACAAATACAAATGGTTGAGCCTCCCTGTTTGCAAAGAATGCGCCACAGCTGGGAGTCGGGAATCGATCCCTAGATTATCATTGAGCTTGTTTGATGATGAGATCAGGCCAGCTAGTTCCCTTATGTCGTAAGAAAAATAATTAGGTTCACGAGGACGTCGATGATGTTCATGGGGCGGGTGGTTGGCGGGTGCTCTGGTGTGGTTTGCTCCTTCTTTCCTATCAAACATCTGTCGTCTCTATCTCCCCTTCTTTTTTATGTTTGTTACTCTCTTGTAACACCTCTAATCTCCTGGCGCTCATATGACCTTATGCAGTTGCAAACGCCGTAAAACCTCTACTAAAACTAACTCCGGCACTTATATGACCTTATTGTGTTGCAAGTGTCGTAAAACACTTACTCAAGCTTTTTAAAAAAGCACTTATATGATCTTATCGTGCCGTAAAACTCTTACTAAAACTAAAACCGGTACTAAGTGCTGTAGTGTTGTAGTGTTGTAGTGAGTAGACAGTGTCTGTTGTTGTCCCAAGACACCCCGCTCACGCGCGCGCGCGTGCGTCCGCCCCCGAGTGCTGGCATTTGGCGCCTTTACCTGGCCGCTGACAGCTCGCAGGGGCTGTGTTTGACACATTGGCCGATGTGTTTGAACTTTTTTACCACTTCCTGATACATTTCCGATGTTGATCTCTGCGCTGATGAAGAACGGCTTTGAGAATTCCTCAAGCAAAACACCCCCTTCCCCGGCCCCTTTTTTCCCCTAAAGAAAAGGAAAAAAACACGAAACGAAACAAAACAAAACAAAAAGGAAATACGATTTTTGATTTGGGGTTGGGTTTGTTTTTGGTTGGTTGTTTTTTTCTTCTTTTTTTGAGGGGGGATGGGATTTTTTGTTTTGTTTTATTGATGTGTGGGGGGGGGGATGTTTTTTGCTTTTTTTCTGCGAATACCTTTGCCGTTCCTTTGACTTTGGTGTCGGAACTTAATGAACGCAATGTGTTTTCGTATTGGTGGCTGTTTGTGGGGTTGACTGAGCGTGCTGCCGTTTGATATCAATTTCAAGTCGTAAACTGAGTTTATGGCAGGCAATCTTTTTAGATCCCCTTTTTTTAGAAGATGGGAGTAGAGAATGAGAGGTGGGGGGGGGCGACGGGCCTTCACTTTATTTGCTCAGTTTGGGTTGTAGGTGGGTTCCCGGGTGTGGTTTGCTCCTTCGTTGTTGTTTCTATCGGCCTTATCTTTCCTCCTTCTTTGTTGTTTCTTGCTCGCTCTTGTAGCACCTCTAATATTTGGCACTTATATGACTTCTTTGTGTTGCAAGTGCCGTAAACGGGTGGATGGAGGGTGCGCTGGTAGATCCTACTTCTTTTCTGTCTCTCTGTTGTTTTTGTCTGTCCGTCTTATTTTTTTCCCAGCACTGAATGACTATTATTGTGTCCATGTGCTTCTTTTTACTCAAACAAACAAAAACAGTGCCGTTTAAACCTTTACTAAAACTAGAGGATGTATTGCACGCGACTGGAAAGGAAAGTGGGTGGTTGGCGGGTGCTCTGGTGCAGTTTGCTTCTTCTTTCCTATCAAACATCAATCGTCCTTTTCTCACCCTTCTTTTTTTTATGCTTGTTACTCTCTTGTAACACCTCTAATCTTCTGACGCTCACATGACCTTATGCAGTCGCGAGCGTCGTAAAACCTCTACTAAAACTAAAAAGCAAAGCATCTAACCGCTCCACCACTCACAGACGCCGCTGTTGGACGGTTCATCTCCTCGGCTCCACCCCATGGATGTTGGATAGACATTAGACTTGGGGTTGTGTCTTAAATTATAAAATGAATATTAATCCTTTTGGAATGGTCCATGACGGGGTTTGATTTTACCTTTTTGTGTACGGTATGGTAAGACTGATTTATTGTACGTATTTCCTGTTCCCTCGCGCCACGGCTAACAATAATCGACACAACTGAGATCCCTTAGGAGGCGAACTGCTTCTACCTTGCCTAACTGTCTCTCTACGTGAATAGTCTCTACGTAGCTTAACACCCCCCC